TTTAAGGACTCCTGTGTTGCCACCATCTCCAAAGGAGCCTAATCAATTTCAGGCTTCATTGGCGTTTAGGCAGCAAAGAAAAGCGAATCACTCAACATTTTAATGAACAGAAAACATTTCCAGTCCAACCCAGACTCCTCTGACATGTTTTCCAGCTATTACAAATGTGTGATGGTTTACTTTTTTTTTTTTAGTCGATGAGCAGTGGAGAACGTGAGGGAATCTATCGCACAGTGAGTGTCCCGCATGGTCGTCCAGCAGGGCTGGAAGCACCCAGGGAGGCCGTGCTGGGCCAAGCCCAGGACGGAGTGGGAGTTGCCTCGGATGTCAAGGCTTTAGGATAGAGGAAGGGGCTCCCAGAGAGGAAACAGCATCTGGCCCTTTCCCTTCCCCTCCGCCCTCGGGAGGAGACGTGAATTCTGGTGTCAGTTCATTTCTGCCAAGAGAGATCAATTAGAGGTTGACAAGTGCAGCCGCTCCCACGGCCCGGGGAGGCGCGATGCTCCCCAGATGGCGTTGAAGCCCTTTGAGAAGAAAGGATCGGTCATTTTCCACTTGAAGACATTGTGCGTTGTCCCCAGCTCATCCCAGTGAGGAGGCTCACCCCCGATCGCCCCGGCGGCGTGCTCTCGTCTGGTGTGTTGGGTGGCGTTTCGGTCTCGGGGTGGCACGCGGTTAGGAATTAGCTACCCAGGCGAGGCGTGGTGGTGGGAACCCACCCAGTGGCCCCGCAGGAGGAAAGCTGGAGCGGTGGCTTGCTGGAGCACCGAGGCCGAGAAGGCCTCCCTAACACTCCGGGCCGCCATGGTCAGACTCGGCTCAACAGCAGTGGGGTCAGGCATGAGAGCTGGTCCGTGAGCGGGAACTGTGTTTGCTCTTTGTGCTCAGCACCGCTCCCTCCTTCACAACCGCCTCCCCCCAGCCAAACCTCTTGCCTTGAAGTCCGCTTTGACTGGTCACCACTCTGCAGGACCAGGTGGAACTGCTCCGCCGTAGGGTTTCTGAGACTGTCAGTCTTCCTGGGAGCACCCAGCCTCATCTTTCTTCCGTAGAGTGACTGGTGGGTTTGAAGCAACTCTGCAGCCAGCCGCACAATACTTAACCCATCATGCCGCCAGGCCTCCCAGCCACCCCTGCTCAGCCTTACGGCTGCCATCGAGGTGCCTCTTGACTCGCAGGGACCCTATCGGACAGGGTCGAACTGCCCCCTGGGTCCCCGAGACTGTAACTCTTTCCTTGGGTAGAAAGCCGCCTCTTTCTCCAGTGGAGCGACTGGTGGTTTCGAACCACTAACGTCTCCTTAGTTGCCCCAAACATGAGCCTCCCCCATGGACGTGAACTGAGTGACTGAGGGCTATTCTTCCGTTGGCTGTAGAACCTGGATGAGGGTCAAGGGAGCCTGGGTGTTTAGCCCAGCTTGTGGGCAGCACAGTGGAGACTTTGCCCCATCACTGGTTCCCCCACCGGGTAGAACGCTGGAGTCAGCCAGTCCAGAGGCTTCTGGGACAAGAACTCTCTTTCTCTGTCTTCCAGCATGCAGCTCACGATGGACTCTCAGTAGGTGTCAGCAAACAGGAGGTGGGTGGGAAGGAAGGAGTGAGTGAACAGACAGAGGAGTGGCGAGGCGTTTCCGGCATCAAGAGGCTTTGGGAGGCATGCAGTGTGCGATTAGCTCCTATCCTACGGGCTGGTGGTCGGAGCCTTTGGGCTAGTGGTTCATTGGGTCTCCTGACGTGGGGGACAGACGAGGGCCCCACAGCTGTACCACAGAAATGAGGGGTAGGGGTGGGATCTGCATGAACCTCAGCGGCCCAGGCATTGACTCAATGGCAGTGAGTTTTCCTGGGGCCCAGGCTGGGAATCAGAGGCCTTGGCTTTGAACCCTGCCTCAAACCACTCCCACCCTCCACCCCACCTGTAATGGCTAGACTTGGGATGAAGGCCCTGGGGCTGGTGTGAGGAGGATGAGAACAGATGTGCCCCTCTGCCCTGTCAACATCGAGGTGCTTTAGAGAAACGGCCGTTGTCATGGCCACCAGCCACCTGAGGCCAAGGCTGCCTCCATGGGGCCTGCATCCCCAGGGGTTGAGCGAAGGGCCCCCACACCGCACCTGCTCGGAGGTGCTGCCCACCGGTCCACTGCCTTTGCTGGGGACTGTGCTCCCTGCTTCCTCCAGGGTTGGGAGCCATCGCTACCCACTCCCCTCCAATCCCAAAAGGCACCAAGTCCCCAGCCAAGACGTCTGGAATCTGTAGAGGGCACGAAGCAATTAGGAGCCAACCCTGCACGCTTACGTTGCCCGTGCTGCCACAGGCTCTTCGCACATCACAGGCCCTCAATTCTTCAAAACGACCCTGTGGGCCAGAACGAAGACCCTCTTCCTCTTGCGGAATGCCGAGGGGTGGCGGTACAGTCCGGGGCTCACTATCCCGAAAGTCATGTCAGATTCGGACTCCGTTCTCTGGCCCCTAACCGTGCGCCTGCGGGTTCCCTAAGCTGCTCTCTGTGGCCCAGCCCGGCCTCCCTGACTCCCAGCAGGGGGCACTCAGGGCCCTTCCCTTGCCCCCGGCCCCTCTGCTCCCACGCTCCTCCTCTTCTGTCCCCCAGCTGTGGCTCCTCGGCCTCCTCCCCTGCCCGTGACCTGAGCCGGGAGGCGAGGGCCGCTGCCAGGACGCTCATCCATTCCCGAAAGGCCTGCTTCTGCTTTGTCGGAGATGGAACCTTGGCGTCCTTTGGTTCGGGTTGCCTAAGAGGAAAGAGAGGCATGATCTGGTACCCTATTAATGCCCATGCCAGATAATAGTGGCACGGCAAAGAATGATGTTCCCAGGACTTATGAGCGCGGAGGCCAACACCCTAACTACCACATCAGCAAACGGAAGCCAGCCACGGATAGCAAGCATAATACGTCACACTCAAGTGGGATCATCTTAAGCTTGCAAATAGGATTCCTCTTGGGAAGATGGGGGCTGGGTGGGGCTGCCGAATTTGAGCCAGCCCAGGCTCACTTTAGGCTGTGCCCTGCTCCCTGGGCCCCGTACCACCCCACATCCCCCTCAGAGTACACCAAGACACTCCCTGCCAGGCACCCCCTAACAAATTCTCTCTTCCGTTCCTCCTGCAGGATTCCATGTTTTCGTTGGCCCTGAAATGCCTTATCAGTCTGTCCACCGTCATCCTTTTGGGTTTGATCATCGCCTATCACACACGGGAAGTCCAGGTAGGTCCCCCCCCCACCCCCAAGGCAGAGGTCCTACCTTGTCTTGCTGTAGGCTGAGCCACCCCCTTCAAAGGGCAGCCGGGTAGGTGATTGTCAAGGGGAGTCTCCCCCTCCACCCCCCACCCCTGGCCAGGACTGTAACAGCAGGAGGCACGGGGGCTGCCCCATGGCTTCAGCACCACCCTGGCCATGTCTCTCCTTGGGATCCAGACACAGTCATGTGGCGCCATGATTTGGGGCTGGGGCTGTCCTGCCCAGGAGCCGCATTTAGCACCGTGGTTACTCGAGAGCTTCCGATGAATTACTTCACCTTTTCTCTTTGTTCCTTCCTTGTTGGGCACTTTCTGACTTTGAACTCTGCGTTCATCTCATGAGTCAGACCTGCCTTGTGGTTCCCTATACATATGCACACACACACGCACACGTACTCACACACATACATTTATACACACACATACTCACATGCATTTATACACACATACTCACATGCATACATTTATACACACATGTACTCACACACATACATTTATACACACATACTCACACACATACATTTATACACACACATACTCACATGCATTTATACAAATGCACTCACATGCATACATTTATACACACATACTCACATACATACATTTACACACACGTACTCACATACATACATTTATACACACGTACTCACATGCATACATTTATACACACACACACAGTCTCAGGCACTACCTTACACAGAGACCCTGTCTCTCTCACTGTCTCTCATATACATACTCAATCATCTGACACACGTACGTTCACACACTCAGCCATACCCACGCACTCGCTCTCTGTCTCACGCATATACACGCTCTCTCGGGCACCCTGTTGCTCACACTTGCTTCGTCACACTCACACAGCGTCCCTCCCTCACACACAAACACTCTTTCACCCTCTCTCTCATACGTTCACACACCCGTGTCTCACCCACGCATTCACACTCACACCCTCCGTCTCTCACACACTCACACGCTGCAGCAGACATCCTGGGGGGTAGACTGAGCCCTGCTGGGTGCCGGCAAAGGGAGCAGTATGGTGTTCTAGGCTGGGCTCTGGCTGCCCTCTGTGTCTTGCTGCCCGGGGTGACTTGGCACCTGCAGGAGCCCTGGCTGGGGCCCCAGGGTGCGCGTCCCCTTTGGCGACATGGGGAGGAGTGCTGGCCCGGGCCTGGGGTGGTTAGATAGGAGCAGGCAGGCCCGTCCCCTGACTCTGTGGTTGTCACTCGGGCCCCCGGCCTGCGCAGCTCTGAACTTCGCAGCTGTTTTTTCTCACCCCCCCGGGGTGTCTGGAAAGGACACCAGTCCCCTGGCCTGCGGAGCTCATCAAGATCCACATCTGGGTGGCAGGTGGGAGGGAGACGGAGACCAGAGCTCCGAGTCAGAGACTGGGGTCGTGGCTCGGCTGCAACCTCTTCTCGCTGTGTCTTGGCGCCACGCCCTGGCCTTTTGTCTCTTCTCGGGGTGTTCCCTCCCCCGTGGCTGTGTTGGGGCTGGATGGAGCCCAGAGGAGCAGCTGTGTCCCCTCCTGTTGGCCGGTGGGGGCTGTGGGGAGGCGGCTGATTGAGTGCAGAAGCATTGGCTCTGGCCCATCTTGGCGGGGCTCCAGTCTTCCAAGACCACAGGACCCTAATCTGGGCGGTTGGGACTCTGGCCTCTGGAGGAGGGGTGGGAGGGTGGGGGTCACAGGTTGTGCTCTGAGGGCCTCGGAGCAGCTTCCTTCCCGGAGTCTGAACGGAGCCAAGCTGGTCGGCTCTCATCCAGGCTGGTGCCCGGCCACTCCCAGAAAGGGGCCCGGAGGCCAGGCAGGAGGAGCAGGGGTCAGAGGCCAACACAGCCCAGGAGCCAGACTAGCTTCTTCCTGACCCCACCTCGGCCTCCAGCCCAGGTGTGTCTATCTGCAGAGAGGCTGTTCTTGCGTGTTGCCGGCCCAGGACAGGAAGGCGTCTCTCGGGCCAAGGGGGAAAGGCAGAATCAGAGGCAGGCCGCACCCAAGCCCACCCTCCGCGGCCTCGCAGCCTGGCTGCTGCTTCTTGCTGCTCTAGGTGTTGGGTGGGCAGAGAGGGACAGGCGCCCCCTGACTCCCGGGAGCTTTGTGCCCCGTCCAGGGCCTGCATCCCTGGCTCTCAAACCAGGTCCAGCCCAGCTGTCGTGGGACTTCACTGCGGGCTGGGTGGCGGGGGGCCATGGCACTGACAGGCCAGCCCTCAGCACGGCCTGTCTGCCTTTCATCCCCAGCCGTGGAGGGTGAATGTGCCGCGTGGGCCACTCAAGGTTTGTCGGAAGGAAGGGAGGTGATGGCTGTGAACGCGGCCGCAGGCCCTGCAGCCTGAATGACTGTGGGCCCCTCCCAGCATCTCCGGCCTCGGTTTTCACGTCTGAGACACGGAGTCACACCTGCCCCTTGCAGAACGCAGAACAGGGTGGGTGATGTGCAGAGTACGGAGCGCACACGGGCTGGCATAAGAAATGGGGTTTCTGCCCCGCTGGGCCCAGCTGGGCCCCAGTCCAAGTGCTACCAGGTGGTCACTGTCACACCTGCCCAGTCTTGCCAACTGCCAGGCTTTCTCCTGTACCAGCCCAACCCTGCCAGCACGCTCAGCTCCTGACACCACGGATGCAGGTTCTTGGCCGGCAAAAAGTCAGTGGGCAGGTCACCAGCCCTGATTCTACCTGTGCCCACCTGTGCCCACTGCCATGTGGAGGAAAGTACTCCCAGGTCTCCAGTCCAGTTCCTTGTGCAAACAGTGGGCTCTTCTCCTGCCGGAGGGAAGAGGGAATGGTTTGGGCCCTCAGTCAGAAGAGGGAGTGGTCCCTGGCGGGGACTCCTTGTATGGTCCTATCTCCACTTCTGTGTCCTCCTCCCCAGCCCCAGGGACAGTGGTGTCACGGATCTATGGGTGTCCAGCCCCCTCCTCTAATTCCTGGAGGAGAGTAGCATGTTCATTGGGTTGTGTGGAAGAATGCTGGGCTTAAGAGATCTCGTTTCGAAAACTGGTCAAGCCATGACGTCACCCTGTTCGTGGTGGGTCCTAAGCCCCTGGACCCTGCCAGGCTCTGAGGGGTCGGGCTGCCCACTTCCTGAGAATGACTGTCATCGTTCATGGCCATTCAGTTGGCCCAGCTGCTGGTGGCCGCCTAACAAACATAGGAACGCACCGTCTGGCCCTGGGCTTGTGGTCCTTGGTACTTTTGAACCCACTGTTGTGACATTGCATCTGAGTGAGGGGCTTCCTTGTTCCCTCGGACCCTCTGCTTCCCCTGACGTCCCTGAGGCTGTAGGCAGGAGTTAGCCTTAGCCAGTGGGCAGTGGTTCTAGAGGAAGGGGCTCTTAGAAAACATCTGTGCACTGAGAAAGCCCAGCTGCCACTCCTCTATGGTGAAGCTGGCCAGGGCCCAGGGACAGCTGTATGGTCTCCTCCCTGGGGTGACGTCAGGGGCTGTGTCAAGAATCTGGTCACCACTTCCTTCATCCACAACAGTTGCTGTCAGTTGGCTAACTTTTTGCAGGGATCTGATGACCATGTCCCCACTTCCCCCCAGCTCTGTCCCCAGTGCTCACACTCCGTCCGGCCCAGGCCCTGGTCCAGCAGCACACATGTGAGGCTGAGAGCACCGCCTAGAATAATCACCAGTTGCCGTCAGGTGGGTTCTGACTCATGGAGATGCCAGGTGGAGAACTGAGCTCCAGGGGTCCAATGGCTGGTTTCCTGGCCGTGTGGTAGGTAAGAGTCAGGCTTCGTAATCCCAGAAGTCAGCAGTTGGAAACCACTAGCCCCATGGACAGGTACAGCCTTGGACGTTCGCAGAGGCAGTTCTACCATGTCCTGAAGGGTTGCTAGGGGTCGGCATCAACTCGATAGTTTTCTTTTTTTTTTAGGTGTCTAGGGGTGATCTTGAATGCCCCACCTTTTGGGAAGCAACCAAACGTGCCAACCCCCCACCCCACCCACCCAGGGACTCCACAGTATCCCTGCCTGTTAGGGTCGACGGCTTAGATTTCCAAGGAGGAAGAAAAATTCTGAAACATTATTGGATACCTCTCAACCAAACTCTGCCTTCAAGCCATGGAGCTTCAGGGACGGGAGGTTCTCTCGGAGGGGACTTAGTCCAGCCCTCCAGCCCCACCCTCACCCCACCCATTCCCTGTGTGCTGTCCATCAGTGACGTGCCGTGGTTCCCACTGCCTCTGGCGGTGGGCTATCCCACGCTGCCGGGAAGTAGGATCGAGTCTTCCACCCACTGAGGAATCGGCCTCCCAGTAACTTCCACCGAGCCCCTGTTCTCCGCCTTCAGCAGGAAAGGGGGTCCCGGTGGCGCAGTGGTTACGTGCTCAGTTGCTAATGGAAACATCAGCGGTTCAAACCCAGGAGCCTGTTGTGGCAGCTTGCTTCCGGGGGACACACTGCGGGGCAACTCTGGTCTGTCCTCGGGAGCACTGGGCTGTGGAATCCACTCGGCAACCACGGGAAAGGTTCAGGTATCTGTTCCCCGCAGGTCTCTCGGCAAATGACAACGAAACGGAAAGGAAGCAGACGCCCCCACGAAAACAATGCATTTTGCTAATTTACCACAATTCTGGTGGGAAACAAGCATCGGGTGTGTGGTGTGTGTGCTGGGCATGTGGCGTTGTCCACCACCACCCAGATGGACGGCATGACCTCCTCTCCCCGGGCAGCAGGCTCATGGGTAGATGTCAACATGTCAGACATAAAACTACCCCCCAACCCCACCCCCGGCCCCTATCTATTTGAAATGAACTTGTATGTTGCTGCACACTCCAAGTCCACTTGGGGTTTACCTGTCCCCCTTCTTCAGCCACTTAGACCGATACTTAGAGCTGAGGGGTGAGGACTCCGGAGGGTAAGTCACTGAACTGTTTATGGCTCCTCTCCCAACGTTTCCTAACTCTTGCGTGCCTACGGACCTAACTCTTGCGTGCCTGCGGAGCGCATTTGTCCATCCAGGACA